CGCACCTTTCTCAGCTCTCCTGATCCCAATGCCACGGGCAGACTGACTTCTCCCATTGGCATGACCTCTCCTCCATTAAAACCGTACAACGCCGTGGTTACCGATTTCAGCTCCATATTCAGCTCCCTGTTGATCTGCACAAAACAGTCGTAGAACATCACATCTACCGAACTCCCGGTATCAATGAACACCCTCTTCACATCAAATCCTGCGACCTCTGCGGTTATCACCAAAGCATCATTATGTGGCAGGACCACTCCTTCGGCATCCTCCGCCTTAAAACTTATCACCGGCATTCGGGTCGTGATACTCACCTCTTCCCTTTTCCTCTTCATTGCTCGAACGTGACCTTTCCTCGCATTGTTTGAGTCCCCGTCCGTCGGTCCTCCCGAGATCATATATATCGTGCCTCTCTTCACCTGGCCTCCATCCCCTTCTCTCTCCCGCTCTCTACTTCTTCGCCTCATTTTTCCCTCATCTCGCTTTCGACCATATCGACCACCTCGCGCATCCTCATAATCATCTTCCTCATTCCTCTCTACCGAGTCTTCCCGACACCTTCTCTTCTCCTTCCTCCTTCCCTTGTCCTGATAAACAAACTCCTTGAGGTGTCCCGCTCGAATAAGGCGCTCAATTTCGTCCTTGAGGTGCCGACAATCCTCAGTAGTGTGGCCATAGTCTTTGTGGAAGCGGCAATATCTCCTCGACTTTGGTTGGGTGGGCCCCTCGAACCTCGACCTAGGCCACGTCACGTCCTTCTTGTCCATCCCTTTTTCCATAGCTATCAGAACCTCGGCTACTTTTGCGTTCAACGGGGTGTAATCATGGAATCTTTTTCCTCCAGAGATGGGTCGATCCTTCCACCTGTCCTCTCGCCCTCGATCTTGTTTAGCTCGCCCCTCCCTCCTGGGCGAGGTTTTCCTCTTGGGCGACACCGCCTTTTCATTCCTCGGCTCCCCTCGACCTAGCTCCTCAAGTTTGGCAAACTCCGCCTCAGTCTCTTCGAGATTGATATATTTTCTACACCTCCTCAGTACCTCATCATACGTGTGGGCAGGGGTCTTAGCCAAAGAAGTTCTACACAGCCCCGCCCGCAAACTCCTTATCAATCCTCCCGCCTTGACCTCGTCGACCGCCGATGGGATCTCCAAACAGGCCTGATTATATCGAGCAACATACTTGCGCAATAACTCTTTCTCGCCCTGTCTCATCGCCATCAATGTCAAATACGTCTTCTCCTGAGCCACCGCGCTCGAATATTGATTTGTCAACTTTTCTGCAAAATCTCCAAAGTCCACTATCGAGCCTGGGGGGAGCTGTTGGAACCAATCGAGCGCCCCTCCCCTGAGAGTCGATAAAAAGGCCCTGCAACTAACAGGGTCAGTATATCCATGTAACACAGCCATATTTTCGAATGTTCTCACGTGTCTCGACGGATCAGAGGTCCCCTCGAACACCAAGTTGGTATCCTTGTAATTATTTGGCAAAGGCGCTGCCAGTATATCCGCCGAGAAAGGATGTCCTCGAGCGCGCCTCTCTGCTCGACCATCCACCTTAGCCTGCAATTGGCGCAGCTACTCCGCCATCCTCTCCATCTCCCGGTCATGCGCAGGCCCGCCT